CCACCCACTCACTCACTCCACCCCACTCACTCACTCACTCCACCCCACTCACTCACTCACTCACTCACTCACTCACTCACTCACTCACTCACTCACTCACTCACTCACTCACTCACTCACTCACCTCATAATTCCATCATCCCTTATGATGGTATCTTGGCTTCGGAAAACGAAATGGGGCTTAAACCCAAGAAGCCGAAGAGGACCAAGTGAAGTCGCCGAGCTCCCTGGCTCCTTTGCTGGCGATGCTCGGCGTCCTCGGTCTCCGGGCAACGGGTGCCTTCCATTCCCAGAGCTGGTCGTGTTGTTGGAATTTTCGGCGGAGAGGGAGGGTAAAGGGGTGCGTTTTTATAGTTTATCGAAGTTTCTTGATCATCGGGCTTCTGTCAGGGCTCTACAAGGTCTCGCCCGCCCGGGTGTTTAGGGGGTTTGCAGTCCATAGGTCTGAGGTTCAGCATTGATGGTTGTGAGCAACCCTCTGGATTCCCAACCGTAAACTCGAAAATGCGGCTCGCATCGCGTTCTAGTTGGGGTTTTGGAATCCTGGCTAGTTGTAAGCAGGGTTTTAAGCTTTGATTAGATTGCTTGTAACACAATCATTTCAGCTGCAAAGTAATGACGAAAACAACATGACAGCACCATAAACCCTCAATAAGTCCGGAACCCTATGCCCGAATCTTTGCTTTTGCTTTGGAAGGCATGGGGGAGTTCCGGAATAGAATCCCTTACACCGGGGACTCAGAAGTCCGGATCGGACAAGGTCCCTTTTCCCGTAGTCCTCGGCCTCTGACGGTAGAGCGAATTCTGCAAGTTTGTTGGTTCTATGTGCGTGCGCTCGGCCACTGTAGAGCCCTGCGACGTTTTGTTGCCCTCCCAAAGGCCTCACGACCCGACAGTAAGGCCTGGGGCTCACAGGGGAGCTTCGGGCACATTGTTCCCCCAAGCTCTAACCGACGCCACGCGGCTCAGAAATCGATACCTTGCACACTCGGAAGACCTGAGCATGTCTGGTCTAGCTTCTCTTGAAGAAACTTCACAGGGCGTTCAGATTCCTATAACTATGGAGTCTGAAGTTCCCAACGCCCTGCCTTAGGTGTTTTTTTTATACATAGCTTCTTAACGCTCTTTCTTTGGATGAGTACTGTGGTTGCATGTAAGTCGTGAGGGTTCTGTCATAAGCCATAGCAGCTGTTTAAACACATACCTGAATAGGGAGCTTCTTAGGTAGAGGCCGTTAGTCACTTCAGCCGGGTCCGCAACTCAACTGGCCAGACGCAGAGACAAGAACAAGTCTTGGCCGTACATCAGCACGAAGGTTTAACACCCCAGGCTTTGCATTTTAGCTTGGTTATCCGCAACGCCGAAACTTTAAACCCGCATCGCACGAACCCCAAACTTCTAAAAGCTTTATTCCTCACCACGTGCATCCTTGTCACGGCATCAATGAGCTGCCATGCCGCCTGTGTTTTACAAGCGCGGCTGGGTCGCCCAGCACTCAGCCGATCTCAGTACGTAGGGCCTGCCTAGCGCTAAGTTCAGATGTTGTGGTTCCCTGAACATGCCAAATATACGATGCTTACTACAAACGCTACATTCGAGGCTGTGCTTTATGCGGAAAGGGATCTTCAAGTAGTCTCACTGCAAGTTGAGTCCTAAACCCCAAACCCCTCCCTCAACCGTCCGAAGCTGAGTTTTGGAAGGGGACGTCGGATTGACAGTGCAGCCAAAGCCGGGGGGATTTCAGCAGCGTGGAAATTCCTTTTTCGGTACCACGAGTAGAGTTTCTGGATCTTTGAGAGGCTGAAGGTTTAGGGTTTAGGGTTTAGGGTTTAGGGTTTAGGGTTTAGGGTGGTTAGAACTCAGCCGTCAAGCGATGCTCCGGGCAGGAGTGGGTGCAGCAGGTTCCCCATATGCTGGCGGAGATCCTGGGGATGAAAAGGTTAAAGTTTCGAGCTTCCAGGTTTGGGGGGTTGCGGCCTAAGACTCTGAACTGTAAGCATGCACCGGGAGACCCAAAGCATGCAAACCCAAAGCCGCCAACGCCTGAACACCCTATTCCTGACCCCCTAAACTTCGCTTGGAACTTTAAACTATTAAACCCCAAAGCCGAAGTTCCGAAACCCAAAACCCTGCATCAGGCAGACACCCCGTCGGAGGTGTTGCAGAATGCCTTGGACCGGGCCGGCAATTCAGCCTCTTCCCCGGTTCGCAGAGCCGGCGAAATGGTTTAGGGTATGGGTCGTGGGGTTGGGCAGTGTAGAGTTTTAGACTCAGCATTGTCTATACGATTTATGGGGTTTCGAAGGCATTTGTTTATACGTTGGGCTTTGTTGGTCAGGTTGGGGTTTGAGAATAGGCCAACTTAGGGGCCACGCAAGGGCGAGAGTTCTGGTACAAGGCAGGAGACTTGCTTTTCCAGCTGTGGTGATTTTTGTAGGTGGGATTTTGTACGTCAGAGTTTTGTAAGTTTGAGAACAGGTTTCGAGCTGTGGTTGTTCACATCGTAGGACGTTGATTCCCCTGTGTCGTTTAGTCCACTGCTCCTTGCTGTTCCCCTTCAAACTCGTCATCGTATCTTTTCATCGGCGAAAGACGGAGATGAAGAGGCAGAGAACAAGAAGTCATTCAATAATTTTGGGGCTGATGGCGGTAATGCTCATACTACACAATCAGGGAAACAACAATGTATGAACATTGATCGCAGTAACTTCCCAGCTAAGACACTTACAGCCTTAACTGCTGAGTCCCTTCATCTTCAGAGTGGGCGTGTGCAACCTTCGTAAACCCTACAATTGCTTACTCTGGTCTTGCGAAGCCCGATACCTTAGAAACTTCTGTGCTTGAAGCCTTATATGGCCCCGTTAGACTCGAAGTACTCTGGGCCTTCATACCCTGACACCCTGAAGAGACCTAAAGCCGAAAGGACGCGCAAAGATTGAAAACCTAAACAACCCCAGCAGAACTCACTAGCAGGCTCCTTGCAACGACCCCACATTGGACCCCTTACTTCTGAGAAGGCAGCTTTTTCTACTCATCCAGAACTCCAAAAGCTTCGAAACCCGTACACGACCCAACAAAACCCTTGTGAAAAGTAACAGCCCTTCTGTTCACTCCTTTGAACCCTAAAACCCTAAACCCTAAACCCTAAATCCTAAACCCTAAACCCTAAACCCCCTAAACCCTAAACCCTAAATCCTAAACCCTAAAGCCTAAAGCCTTAACCCAATTCTGTTCACTCCTTTGCTTTCGGCCTTCACTGCAACGCTCCCAGGCTCCTGGCGAGGCCTCGCGTGGGGTACCCGCCGAGGAGGCCATTTTTGTAGTGCTTTAGAAGGGTCTGTACTTTTAGTGACTTAAAAAGGGTCGTGATAAGTTTGTGCGTTTTTGTTTTTTGGTCTTTATAAGGGTGTTAACTTGATCTCTACAGAGTTTTGTGTAGGTGATTTGAGGTGTTTGCGGCTGGCTAGAGCCGTCGTTACAAGGGTTTGTTTCGGGGTCTATACGGGTTGGATTCAAAAACCTTCCATAAGGGGCTTAAAGGTGTGGTTGCACCGTTCTTAGTGTTGGAGAAGGGCTTGAAACTTCTTGCATATAGTTTGATGAGACTTCTCACAAAGGCTTGACAGGGGTTCTATTCGTCCAGTGTTTTCGTGCCCTGAAAGCCTTAACAAGACTCTTCCTACACATGTCCTATTCATCAGTTATGCTCTAGGTTGGGGATTTCAGTGATTGTAACATTCAGGGTGTCTAGAGGCTGGTCTGCATCGTAAGCCCAGACAGGTCCTTACGCCCCAAACCGCAGACCTTCAAATGTACGTCTCAGCAAGCTCCGCGCTGGTCATCAGGAACAGGGTGAAGAAATCTGACCCCGAACTAAAACCGTAATCCCTGAACGTCCAAGTCCTGAAGCTGCGAAGCTGCTTTGTTCTCTGCCTGGAGCTCTGTCCGGATCCGTACCCGCGCTATGCGTTTAGGGTTCAGCAGTTCAGTGTTATCTTTCTCAGTTTAGCAGCCAACGAGGTTCCGAACAACATGACTGCAACCCGGACTCCGAAAATCTACACTCTAAAGCCCGAAACCAGAACCTGAAATCCTGAACCAGGTAGACGACGATCTGCCCGGCTGGCGTTGCATTGGCAACCGCTGGGTCGGGCGCTTTAAAGCGTTGCAGGGGGTTGTGGGTCCTGGGGTTGCCTCTGCTCAAGCGATGTGGCTTTCGGGAAGTGGATTCGGGGTTGGTGAAAGAAATTATATTATATTATATTATATTATATTATATTATATTATATTATATTATATTATATTATATTATATTATATTATATTATATTATACTATTCTTTAAAAGGAGGTGTAGCAGGGGCCTGCTACTCCTGGAAGTGTCGGCGACTCTCGGACCAGAACCCTGCGGCTCCAAATGAAGCCGAAAAGTCCAAAGTAGATGAAATTCTATACTTGGCGCCTAAACCCTAAACCCTAAACCCTAAACCCTAAACCCTACGCCTCTAAGTTAATTTCACGTTTTGTCTAGGGGCATGTCAGATTTTCCGGGATGGCTCCGAGAGGTTGAAACCTTTGTTGCCGTTCTGTTGGCCCCATCCTAGGGTCTCCGGCTCGCAACGCTGCATGGTAATTATTCTCGTCTGGTACCATTGAAACTCCTTGCGCCCTCAGAACCTTCCAACGATGCCCCATGCATGGGATCCTACAGCCCAGAAGCTGTAAAGCTATTTTTGAAAGCTCTGAGCCCGAAGGCTTTCAACTCCAAACCCCTAAGCTCAAAGTTCGAACATCCCGAACGCAAAACTCCAAACAAAAAACTCGAAATACCTCAGCCCAGAAGTAGACGCCTTTTTTGCTAAGGTCCTTGGACTGCCGGTTCCAGATGCTAGCGGCATCCAGCTCGATGCTTCCGTCCAGGCATAAACTCCGTGGGTTTCTGAAAACTACAGGTCTTCTGACTGCCTGACGTGTCTTACTTTAAATTTTAGGTCCTGGGTGCGAACAGGACTTATATGGGAGTTTACAAAAATTAGGGTACCTTATTTGGGGGTCCCTATAATAAGGGTCCTACTATTTAGGGTACTATATTAGGGTCCCCTATTTTCGGAAACCCCCATATACACACGGCGATGTGTTTGCAAGCTCGGATACCCTTGGGCTCGAGGCCCCAATCCGGACCTGACACAACAAATGTCGGAAGACCAAGCAGAGCCGGCTGTCACATGTGAGTAATTTGCGAGTAACGGCCCGCCGACAGTTGAAAGGGCGAGGAAGCAGCAACCCTCAACTCTGAAAGAAGAATCCGGGAGTTTCGCTTCTCCTTCCCTTACTCTAGGGTACTAGAGCCCCTAAGCCCCTATATAGTAGGTACCTGGAGGGTTAGGGTTACATCTCCGGCCCGCTGAGTCGGTTCAAGAACTCGACTGGCAAGTCTTTTCTGAGCAATCGCAAGAGAATTTTGCTCGGATCGGCCAGTAGTTAGAACAGAAGCTGCAATTCATGGCAGACGCAAGAGGAAACTGGTGTAAGCACCGAGCAGCTAGCACAATCTTTCACGAAACACATTCTGCCAACCAAACGACACCGGTGCGATGAAGTCCGTTGAGGGCTTGCGGCTTAGAGCTTGTTTATGCACTTCGTCCAATTCTTGGAGTTTGTAATTATCAATTATCAACATTTATGTTCGAAGTACTGTGCCCTTGGCTCCCGTTGGGCCACTGTCGCAAAGGCACAATAACGCCCTTGTCCAGATTGCCGTTGACGAGGTAATGCAATCGTATCTGCCATCGTCAGCATTATCACCACCACTACAACCATCGTCAGTAGCACCAGACTTACTTTCACAGGCACTGCGCTTGGTCCTGGACGGCGCGTCCTTGGACTTGCCCTGGCCTCGGCCTGTCACGCAGAGCGAGGCACCTGCTTAGAGGTTGTGTCTTAGGGGTTCTTCGTGAAATTGGTATAGGGGCTTTAGACGGGTTGCAGAAGCGGTCTATGAGGGTTGTATAGGGTTGCAGAAGGTTTATCTGATTGAAACTTCCGGAGAGGCTCTGACATGCTACCTTCCTTGTAGCGTGTAGGCCACACGCAACTCTTGAGCTTCCCGGAACGCTGTAGATCCGTGATGAAGGGGCTTTAATGTTGGAGTATCGGAGACGAAATACGGTTGATGATAAAAAATCCTGCATTACCTTAAAGGATCCCAAACTATGGGAATTAAGTATGTATATCCCTTGTTATGGGTAATGCAGGATTTCTATCATCAGCCGTATTAAGTTGAAGGCTGCAGGGCCTAGACTTAGGGCCTTGGATGGGTTTGGAGCTTACCCGTCAACCCTAAATCGCCAGCCCAGAACCCAAAACTTTGGGGTTTAGGGTTTGGGGTCTAAGGGTTTTTAAGGCTCTGAGGATCTTGAATTGCGGGGTTTAGGTTTTGGGGCTGCAGATCGAAGGCTTCTCGTCCTAGGCGGAGAAGAAAGGCCCCGGGTGTGGTTAGTTTAGGGTTTAGGTTTTCTCCTGGTCTTTTTTCGGGGAGTTTCCTCCGGTTTTGACCGAGACGGACTCGAATCATGCCCTAACCTCTAAACACGAGACCATCCTAAGCCCTTAGTATGGCGCCTAGCAGGCCTCATCTCAAGACCCCGTGAAAGCTTGCTTTCGGAGTTGCTCCTCAAGGACTCAAGGGCCGCCGCTGCTAGTCTACCCTATACCTGTCTAAGGTTCTGCATACTGCTTAGGGTTTAGGGCTTAGGGTTTAGGGTTTAGGGTTTAGGGTCAAGAGGAAATAAGAACAAAAAACACCACAGTTGGAGTTATCCAGGCCCAAACAGAACCCCTACCCGATCCCATGTTAAGCTTGTTTACTTCTTAGCTCTCTGCTGCGCAACAGTAGGGCGGAGGTGTTACAGAAACCGAACTCCCGAGAACTCTTTCGAAAACCCGAACCCCTAAACCCGAAATCCTGACTAGACCCCCAAAATCGAAACAAATACCAAACTAAACCCAATCCCACGGCAATCCTGAACCTATGCCGAGCTCGAAGGCTTACTCACCCACATGCTCCAGACTGCTGCCCCTGAAACCCGTCAACCCTAACATGCCGAAGCAAAACCCCTAAACCCCAAACCCTAAACAGACGAATACCCCAATGACCCACTGCCCTCAACCTTGACACCCTCACACCCTCGACCTGACATCCCCAAACCCCAAGAGCCCTCCCTAAACCCCAGCGGTTTAGAGTTTAGGGTTAAGGGCGGTTTAGGGTTTGTGGTTCAGGGAACCCCCAACAACCTTCACACCCCAAACTCGTCTCGTGCAGGTGGACAGTTTGGAGGCAAAGTTCTCCAAGAAGACGTGCGAGCTGCCGGAGCCTTGGGTTTATCGAAAGGGTGCAACGCAAACGCAGGGGATGGATTGCCACGATGTTTGCAGCGGGTTGTAGTGGGTTTCACTGGCTGTTTCAGTATGCCACTGGATCAATGCAGGTTGTTTGGGGAGGTATAGTGAATGAATTTCGAGTCTACGGTTGTAGGGTTCTTTCCCAAATGGCCCAATACCCTGATGATGATAGGCATGCTGTTGAATTACGTGTTGTTGGGCTTTAAGGCGTTTCGTTAGAAAAGCATTGAGGGAGGGTTTTGGGGGGTAGCCGGGTTTAGGGACCTCTGCCGGGGTCTGGTGAACTGCAGCCTAGGGGCCACAGGGGGGAAGATCAAGCACCGATACTATAGCCTAAACCCTAAACCCTAANNCTAAAGCCTAACCCTAAGTCTGAAACAAGCCTTCAGAATGTGCGTGCTCGAAGCTGCTGGATCTTTGCGACAGAGATCAGATGTGGAACTTTTGGGTCTGGAAAGCCAGGATCGCTTAAACTTTTGTGGAGCTTCAGACCTTCTGGTTTCAGGCTCTCTGGGCTTTTTTTTTCATAACGGCGGTGAAAACTTTGGGGTTATTCCTCAACTCATGATCAGACGCCTTCTAGAGTCTTAGAATGTATCTTCCTCAGAGTTCAGGGCACTTGGACTTCAGGTTCCGGCGTGTTGGGAGGACCTCTGGGCAGCTAAGTCGTGAGCATTTTCCTAGCCATGGAATCCTGGCAGCTCGCGAATGCCGCTTTCTTTGTCCGAGCCCCAGTACAACTTGGAGATGGCTTCTTTTTCACGGACGAGGGGCTTTCAGATGCAAGGCTTTACGACTTTTCAGACTTGCAGAGGCGGTTGGGTAACTTACAGCCCTTTTTCACCTTACCGGGTGGCCGGTCGGGCATGATTGCACTTGGAAAGGCAGCGGTGGTGTCGGGCAGGATAGGTACGCTTGGGGTAGTTGGTGGGTTGGCTCTCTCCTCGATCTGGGGCATGTATCTTCTGTCTGGCTGTTTGGTTGGTTTGGTGTTTCGCCTCCAGTTTGCTTGTGTGTTCTGTCGCGGTTGGTCCTGCTCGCCTTCCCCTCACTCCACTCCGCTCCCTTCCCTTGCTACTAAACTAAATGCTAGCACAAGAACTAGTACTGGTACCGCTAGTAAACTAGCACTAGCACCAGTACTAGTAC